TACAGTGTTTGCATCATGTGGTTCCTTTGATTTAAATAAACCTTGGATGTTCTGTGAACTTTCTGTACATGCTGCTTATCTCAGTCATGGCTACGGTTACAGCGTGTCTCTTACTGATTGCTCTGGAAAGCCAGTTGATTACTTGAAGCAAAATGAATGAAAAAAACTAGTTGTTTGGTCCATGAAATACCAGAAAAATGTTTAAATTATTAATTGGTGTTTCTCAGAGTCCAAGATGGCATTCTCAAATTTCTTGCTGTGTTCTAACCCAAAGATAATCATTTCACTGTCATAGCAGGAATTAAAAAAGAAAGAAAGAAAATCTCCAAATTGAGGAAGGTTTAATCAGATAATTTATACAGTTTTTCTTACAAAATAACTTACTTACATTTATTGGAATAGCTGTTGAATTATTTATTAGTCGACAACAAAATCGTTAAACTATTGCACCTCTTGCAAATGATGCAACATGAGGCACAACAACAAAATAATATGAAACTGATTAAAACTACTAAACTAAAATACTAAATGTGTTTTTTTTATGTGGTAATTCTCTGGTTCTTATCCAAACTCATAGGCTAAAACTACAAGGCAATATGAAGAGTTCATTTGCAAAAACAGATAACTTCATTTTTGTAGATTTTCAGAAAACTTATTTTTTTGTTGTTTGCTTGAGATAATATCCATCAAACTGAAGTTGAGTGGATTTGGCTCAGTCGAAATGACATGACGAAAATAGAGATAACTTACATCTGATTGATATTGTCTCAGGTAGACGATGGAAAAGTGGGTTTTCTGAAGGTTTGTGAGGATGGAGATATCTGTTTTTACAAACGACCTCTTCATATATAGAAAAATTCTGTATGAACTGAACTGAATTATTATTAACAACAACAACAACAACATAACAACAACAACAATAATAATAGTTTTGTTTATTAACCTTTTTTGTCTATTATTCTTGTATGCTTTGATGCTTTATGTCTAAAATCACAATTGATTATATTTTTATTGATTGTTTTCGATCTATTTTGTGCTTCTGGCTCTTCAATCAGAAAATCAAGGAGAAAAAAAAATGTCTGTGGCAAGAACTCTCTGGTTCTTATCCAAACTAAAAAACTAAAACTACAGAACAACATATACTTAAATGTATTGTATGAACTGAAATGAGTAGGCAGAAAAATACTATTATTACAATTTTACTCTTAAAGCTTTTTTTTTTCTATTATTAATTATATTACATTTTCTTGTATGCAAAATCACAGCTGATAATTTCTTTTTTTTTGTTTGTTTCTCCCTCTTAAACCTCACTATGACCACTGAAACACAGTATTTGCAGGGCCTCTGCGGTCCAGGGCCCCTGCTTGGGGCGGCCCTGCTGCTCCAGGAGAAGGAGGAGGAGGTGGAGGAGGAGGAGTGAGTGTTTGTCGGCAGACAGTCAGTCAGGAGGACCGGAGTCCCAGCGGCAGTTTAGGAGAGTCTGAGCGGGGAAAACTGCGTCCAATACGGGAGAACTCAAAGGGGGAATCCGCAATGAGTTGGGGAACGGAGCTCTGGGTATGTTTAAACTCTACCAAGTGTGCTTTTGAGCAGCTGTCGGACTCGTTTGTGTTTTGTCACGGACACCACGGCGACTTTTTTTTTTTTCTTTTGGGAAATCGAGTGGAAGAAAGGTGCCGCGTTACCTTGTAGCTTTGTGTGTGGAGCGGCTAGGCGCTGACGCTAGCTGGCCGGCTGCGCTAAAGCTAAAGCTAAAGCTAATCCGCGGTGCACCTTAACGGCTGTGACAGCGGCGGAACAATAGGCTGGCAAAGCTGCAGGACACACGGGCACGACGGGCGGCCGGGCCGGGGAGGAGGGAGGCACGCTGCCTCTCCTCCGCCCGCGGTCGCAACTTTATTAACAGACGTGCCCGCTTAAATGGATATTCTTTGTTTGTGTGGCAAGTTGCGAAGTTGTGTTTTTATGGTTTGTGTGTGTGTGTGTCACACCCTGTTTGTGGCAGGCAGGGACTCCGGGCAGGCAGCGGGGTGGAGGGAGACCACCGTCCCGCTCCGTCTCCTTCAACTTAACATCCACATACTGACCGACGAAATCTCTTTGTTGCCGCTTATCTCGTCTTTTGTCTGCCATGTTATTAGAAGGGGCACATGCTTGTATCCACAGAAGCAGCCTATATAGTCTTATAACACACCTCAGACCGTGTGTCCTGCCTTTGCACTGCAACTGTGACTGGCTATGTGGAAGTCATATTAGATTTTTATTAGGTGAGACTGTCAAACATGAGCTGCTGTTCCTACCAGAATGACAGATTATCTCATTTTACCTCATCATCCTGCCTATAATGCTAATTGTTTATTGCAGCAGCCATTACTTTGGTGAATGTTATTCAAATTCAGAATGATGGTGGGCTCCAGCCTGTATTTTTGGGGTGTTGGCCATCACAAGCTGTGTAACCAGAGAGGCAACCAGCAGCATCCCCCCTCCCAGTGTGTGTGTTTGTGTGTGTGTGTGTGTGTGTGTGTGCAGAAAGAGGAGGAGGCAGTGCTTCACCTCCCTGAGATGATACTCCTCCAGCTGACCTCGCCGGTTATTATCTGCAGTTTAAAATAAGCTAATTTTTTGCTTGCTCAGCCCTCAGATGTGACACGACCACGCTGTCGCACACAAAAGAGACAACAGTTTGCTCGTGTCACATTCAAAAGGATTGAGAAATAGAGCACACATGGACACAGATACGATTTGTCAGGGTTTTCTTTTTGTGCTCACGTTGCCCCATTCATGTTTTCCATTCAGTTTTTCTTCTCCTGCGTTTTTCTCCTTCCTCTTACTGAGTACAAAGAAGTATTAATAGCATGAAGGTCAATGGTGTCTGTTTGTATTCCCAGATAGGGAGATGGAGACTGACTGGTTAGTGAATGGGTTTAATACTGGCAGAGAAATTTACTTAATGTTTGAGCTCCTGTACAAGTGGTGTGCATGACAGTTTTTGGGCAGTAAAGTAATCATTTCCAACTGTAAAATGTCTATTCAAATAGCATAGAACACATAGTGATCCAGCAAAGTCTAACATGTAGGAATCTGAATCCAGCAGGTATTTTTCAATAAACAGCATGAAGGTATAGAATTGGCTGTAACTAACCTGCAACCCTTTAAAGATTCTGTTAATAGACCTGATGGATGAATGGAGGAATAATCGTCTCTCAAAATCATGCAATAGTTTGTGTCCTGTCCTAACCTCTCTAAGATTCCAACGAAAACACTCCAAAAGGCTTTAGGACATGGAAGCAGAAATGGAGGAAACCTTGGGAGAGGAAATTCAAGATTAACTTTACATCAAAACATTTTTACCAGGTAGCTGGAATACAAAACATCCCAGCTGCATTCAAATTCAACAGCAGATTCTGAATCAAGTCTTAAGGCAAGAGCATATTTTAGCAAAATAAAAATAATGATGTAAAAATCCCAATACTGGGATATTCCATGGGATTGCGCTCATGTCTGCATCGTCCTTTCGCAGTGCTGTAGTTAAGCAAAGCACATCTGATCTGCTATGCGTAGACGCTGGCTGACAGACTGTCATAATCCCCCGAGTCCGCTGATGGGATTAATGTGTTGGCTGTCTGATGTCAGATTAGGGATTATCGTCCGGAAGATAACATGTAGAACTGTTCATTAGCTGTTGTGTTTCACAGCTGACTGCCCATCTATTGTCAGTCAGTGTACTTTATTTTCAGATTAATTGCCTTACAAAAATCCCAATTTAACTTGGCTCTTTATTGTAAATGTAACATAGTAGGGATTACAGATGTTGGCTAACTGGTTACCTTATGTATACAGACAATGGCTGCGTTACATCACATATACTTGATGGTGTCAACTACCACTTGTTTTGTTTAGTTCTTGATTTGTTTTGGTATTCCTTAGTTTAAAAAGAGAATGTGTAAAGTGGGCATCACAGTTTCCCAGAACTCAGAGTCTCTCTAGGTCGTCCTCAGACGAGCCCTCCATCGTTGCTTCCAGTCGTCCCGATTCTCCATACATCTGGCCAGCTCGTTGGTACTTTGAGCTCCTGCATCCTTCTTGAGTATGTCCACGTATGTTAGTGTGGGATGTCCTCGTGACCGATGCCCATGTGCCGGTTCCCACAGCACCAATTTGCTGGCTGGCAGCTCTCGATGCCTTTGACAGTGTCCTGCTAGTCTCATTCTTCTTTCAGCGATCTTCTCGCTCACCCTTGGTATCCCCTCGTACAGGATCACGCTGGTTATGTGTTAAGCACTGCCCGCCACATCCTGGTGTAGCACCCGTCTAGAGACTTCTGTAGGGTTGGCTTCAAGGTCCAGCATTCACTGCCATAGAGGAGAACAGACTCTACTGTTGCGTAGAAGAAGCTGAGTTTGATTTGGCGGGGGAGGTTGGCATTCCATACACTGGTCATGCCGTTCAGGGCCCTCCATGCTAGTGCCTTCCTCACTTTTAGATCTTGCTCCTGAGCCCAGTTACTTAAAGTCCTCGACTTCTTTCAGCACAGTCCCTCCTGCTGTTGTTAGAGGTTGAAGTGAATATTGCAAAATGTGATTATATTTGTTTTAGTATCTTGCAAGATAAAGAAAAGTAGCAAATTTGAATGTTTGAGATGCTACGACCACATAGATTTGGGCACTTTCTGCTTGACAGTGTGTCAGCAGTTTCCTTTGACCAGCTACATTAGTGCTTCCCATTTTTCAAAAAAAATGTGACCCTTTTAAACGAAGCATATCAGAGGTTAAGGGGTAGTCTGAAACAATGAATGTATTTTCTGTAGCAGAAATGTTTTTTCTTTTGTCCCTAATTTGCTATATTTATGATCATTGTGATCCCTCAGATATTTCTTGTGTCATCATGACCCCATTCTGGGGACCAGCAGACTACTACTTATCCAATTGTCTGTGTTATCTCTAAATTCCATCGGTGTTATATTTATTTTTTTAACAAAAAGCAATACATTTTAAAAAAGCATCTCAAAGCAAGCAGCCTGTTCAGTGAAGCCTAGTGCTTTTGCTCTGCGTTTTGGCTCAAACCCAGCTCTTTGAGACATTACAAAGCAAGTGAGGAACATCCTATTACCGCGCTGGCTTCCTGCCTTCCGACACACACACACACACACATAAAGTAGGAAGTGTTTGTCTGAATTAAAGCTCTGTCTGCGCTTTGTGTGTGCGTTAGTGCCAGGATGCTGCCATGCTGTGCTCTGGTCTGTCTGGGTGAGGTGAGCTGGAGGCCAGCAGAGTGGAGCAGCCAAGTCTGACTGAAGGACAAGAGGTTGACAGGCGGTCGTCTCTACTCATCGGCCAAACTGAAAGACGAGGATAAGGGATAGAGAGTGGAAAGGTGGAGGAAAAAGGATGGGTTTTAAACGGCTGGCAAGACTTATGATTTTACTTTGAAGACTGTCAGCTGTTAAATGGAAAGACTTCCAGTTGTGGAAACTCAGATTCAGAGTAGTGAGCAGGTTTTATACCCTCTGATCAAAGACTCACAGGAGTTTGCTTTTCTTTCCTTCATGTGTTTTGTGGATTTGCCAAAGGGTTGTTACTGTGTTCCTTCAGGTGTCCCATGGAAGCCGTTGTTTGAGTACAGGGCACCGGGGTTATGTGTAAATCATTTCATACTTTCAGCAAGAGGATTGTTTGTATTTTTGGCATCAGGTGGTGTTCAGACTCATACACGGGTGCCTGTTATCCCCCACTTGTGTTTGTGATATTCATAGGCTGCAGTCCAGAGTGGTCCCATTGTACTGACAGTCGGGGAGCATCTGTGCTGCTTTCAGATAATGTTATCTTCTTTTATGGAGTAATTTGCATTCGGAATTTGGGAATATATTGAATATCAAAGATACATTTGCAAGGAATTTGATGGTGATAGAAAAGTTGCAACACTTTCATTAAAAACACAAATTTATCCAGCTGAAATTACAACATTTACTGGTTTTAAATTCTCACGAGTACACAATAGCTTTCCTTTTTGAAGCTTATGGCCATTGTTCAAAGTTTTTAGTTCCACCATAACATCCAAACTTCCATATCAGATTGTTGGGCCATTTTGTTCAAAGTTCCTTTGTGCTGTGGATTTTTAAACAATGATGTCTTCTGTTTCTGCTGGAATCAAGATGATCGCCATTGACCCTCGCCTGCCTGTTTCTTCATCTACAACAGAGGATGTTTACACAAAGTTTCCCCTGTAGTGTACCTGGATGCTTTTTGAGTTTGTTAAGCTCGGCAAACCCAGGTCTCACGTACAGTGAGTGTCAGCTGTCCCAGCCCCAAGTTGCTGAAACCTTTGGCATTGGAAATGGAAGCTTTAGCCTGAATGATACTAGATATTTGAGGCACATGGTAATATCAGTGTTTAGGTGGTCTGATAATAATATGTATTAGCTAAGAGTAAGAGTTTATTTATTTATTTTTGCCTTTTGCATTGATGGCACAGCGGAGATGGACAGGAAATGTGGGGAAAGAGCGCAGGAAAGACATAGAGCAAAGGTCCAGTCAGCTGGGAGCTGAACCGGGAACTCA